AGAGTTTTTTTTTCCTCTGGTTGCACATTTAACATGCTGGTAGAAATGAGGTAGAACGGATTTTAAGTTTCCCTGCATTAAAGTCCCCGGCCACTAGGAGCGCTGCCTCTGGATGAGCGTTTTCCTGTTCACTTAGGCCTTATACAAGCTCATTCAGTGCATTCTTAAAGCCAGCATTGGTTTGTGGTGGAAAATAGACAGCTATGAAAAATATAGATGAAAACTCTCTTGGTAAATAGTGTGGTCTACAGTTTATCATAAGATATAGTGGGGAAAAAAGTATTTAGTCAGCCACCAATTGTGCAAGTTCCCACTTAAAAAGTGAGAGAGGCCTGTAATTTTCATCATAGGTACACGTCAACTATGACAGACAAAATGAAAAAAAAAAAAAAAATCCAGAAAATCACATTGTAGGATTTTTAATGAATTTATTTGCAAATTATGGTGGAAAATAAGTATTTGGTCAATAACAAAAGTTTCTCAATACTTTTTTATATACCCTTTGTTGGCAATGACACAGGTCAAACATTTTCTGTAAGTCTTCACAAGGTTTTCACACACTGTTGCTGGTATTTTGGCCCATTCCTCCATGCAGATCTCCTCTAGAGCAGTGATGTTTTGGGGCTGTCGCTGGGCAACACAGACTTTCAACTCCCTCCAAAGATTTTCTATGGGGTTGAGATCTGGAGACTGGCTAGGCCACTCCAGGACCTTGAAATGCTTCGTACGAAGCCACTCCTTCGTTGCCCAGGCGGTGTGTTTGGGATCATTGTCATGCTGAAAGACCCAGCCACGTTTCATCTTCAATGCCCTTGCTGATGGAAGGAGGTTTTCACTCAAAATCTCACGATACATGGCCCCATTCATTCTTTCCTTTACACGGATCAGTCGTCCTGGTCCCTTTGCAGAAAAACAGCCCCAAAGCATGATGTTTCCACCCCCATGCTTCACAGTAGGTATGGTGTTCTTTGGATGCAACTCAGCATTCTTTGTCCTCCAAACACGACGAGTTGAGTTTTTGACCAAAAAGTTCTATTTTGGTTTCATCTGACCATATGACATTCTCCCAATCCTCTTCTGGATCATCCAAATGCACTCTAGCAAACTTCAGACGGGCCTGGACATGTACTGGCTTAAGCAGGGAGACACGTATGGCACTGCAGGATTTGAGTCCCTGGCGGCGTAGTGTGTTACTGATGGTAGGCTTTGTTACTTTGGTCCCAGCTCTCTGCAGGTCATTCACTAGGTCCCCCCGTGTGGTTCTGGGATTTTTGCTCACCGTTCTTGTGATCATTTTGACCCCACGGGGTGAGATCTTGCGTGGAGCCCCAGATCGAGGGAGATTATCAGTGGTCTTGTATGTCTTCCATTTCCTAATAATTGCTCCCACAGTTGATTTCTTCAAACCAAGCTGCTTACCTATTGCAGATTCAGTCTTCCCAGCCTGGTGCAGGTCTACAATTTTGTTTCTGGTGTCCTTTGACAGCTCTTTGGTCTTGGCCATAGAAGTTTGGAGTGTGACTGTTTGAGGTTGTGGACAGGTGTCTTTTATACTGATAACAAGTTCAAACAGGTGCCATTAATACAGGTAACGAGTGGAGGACAGAGGAGCCTCTTAAAGAAGAAGTTACAGGTCTGTGAGAGCCAGGAAATCTTGCTTGTTTGTAGGTGACCAAATACTTATTTTCCACCATAATTTGCAAATAAATTCATTAAAAATCCTACAATGTGATTTTATGGATTTTTTTTCTCAATTTGTCTGTCATAGTTGACGTGTACCTATGATGAAAATTACAGGCCTCTCTCATCTTTTTAAGTGGGAGAACTTGCACAATTGGTGGCTGACTAAATACTTTTTTTCCCCCACTGTACATGACAATACAGCAAAATCTGTGTTATCCATAACACATCCATAGCAATCCGAAACAATCACACTTCTTAACTACTGAAAATGAATAGACATATGCATATTGAAATCTAACTATGACATATAACAAAGTTTCAACCTTTATGATGAGAACATTTAGCCATCTGCATGTCAAAAACATCAGTAGTAGAGGCTGGACACAAATTACCTAAGCAATGACAATCACAAAGGCCTTTGAAATGTATCAAATGCAAGCAGCTCCCCTCCATAGAGAAACCCTGACTCCCAGACACTCAACACAAAAACCACAACAACAGGCATTAATGATGTCAATATTTACTGTCTGGTAGCATTAATGATGGCACAAAGGATTATTAGAAGTTTAATCATCATATTAAAAATAATCTAACGGTTAAAAAAGGGACAAGGGACTGTCTGTTTCACGAGGGATTGAGGGATAGCGAGATGGAGTGATGGGGGCATAGAGGGACGGGGATGCTGCTTCAATCCCCTGGCAACCCTCCTTAATGAAGTCATATTAATATTTAATATGATAAATAAACATCTATTTTGTTTGTGTCGTCGTTAACATGGACATAATGAGTGTGTGCTGTGGTTGTTGTGTTTACTGGTGGTCAGGGTTTCACTATAGGGAGAATTAAGGGCCTGAATGATGCTGACGTCTGCTCAGAGAGACAGGCAGATAGGCCTCTGTCACTAAGGTCCTGTACACACTGAGGTCATACAATTGATGCACAATGCATTTGACAAAATGGTTGTTTTACAAATGATTGTTTATTTTTATTGACATTTTCAATGTTGTATACAGAAACAACAGAATACAACAAATACAAAGTAATAAGACCCAACAAATAAAAAACGACTACATTAAACTAAAATCACTAGTTAATCACATCACACTGGCAGAGAGAATAAGATAAATACATCAACCAAGATTATGAAACACATGAAGCGGGTTATGCTTATGGCTTAAATGTAACACTTAATTTTCACTGAGGTCTCATGAACCACTGATATGATCAAGATATTTACCCCATTTCAAATAATATTTAGTTGGAAAGACAGTTTCTCGTATGCTGCTACAGTACCCAGTTGGGAGAACCGTACTGGGGGTATACAAATGATATTTTAGTGATACAATAGATAGTTTGTCTGCAAAATAATGTGTGGTGTCTCCACAACACTTGTGTAATAATTTTTGTGCAGACAACTCTTTGCTGTATAACAACCATTGTGCCAAATGAGTTGTACATCAGTTGAGTCAACTTGAGTGTGACCTCAGTACCAACACATTCTTTGTTCTCCTTAACTATCCATCTCAAAGCAAGCAGCCGTATCTTGTAGTTGGTCTTGTGGTCTCGGTTTAGATAGTCACTAATAATGACATCTATGCAGAAGTTAAGGTCATTCATTGCTTAGCCCAAACTCTAGTGCTGAAGATGCTCATAGGGCCACAAAACAATCCTGATAGTTTAAAATAAAGCTGTGAAGAATATCTCATTATACTTTTCTTGATGTGAATAATGTTTAATCATTAGCCTACAACCCTTTCTAGACACTTCACCAATTATTTGAGTCCACGATTAATAAAGACATTGGCCGATATGATCCATACCGGCACTCAAGGGCCACTCACTACAGTATGCTACCAGTTTGTGTTTCTCTCTGGATCCTGATTGGCAACAGGACTGGCAGCACTACCACTGGACCAGACTACAGCATGCAACCATTTCTTGATGATTCACCAATAATTTAGCAACTATTTTAGAGTCCACATTTAATAAAGACATTAGACCGACATCTGCCCTCAAGGGCTTGATCACCTCATGCTTCTCTGTTATTGGCTAGAGGACTGGCATGGTGTGACGTAGAGTGAGTTGTCGATATATGTCTTATAAGAGGTGGACGAGAGCTGAACCCCACACACCTTGGGCAGAGCCCTACAGAGCCTCAGCCTGTAACTGAACTGACAGTGAGTATTTCTGCTTCGAAATTACTTTAGGAGATCTCCCTGGTGATTCCTCTGCTTTCAATGTGAACTGAATAGTGACTGAAAAGCTACAGAAGAAAACAGTTCTGGGATTTTCTAATATTTGTCTTTTATTGTCTTTTCAGTATTCAATTGTTTTTGCTATTCAATTACAGTAATAAGCATTGCATTTATAGCAGTTTGCATTTGAGATTTTATTTGATTGTTATCAGATTGCATGTTTGATTTCATCCTATGGGGGTCTGTACAGGGCAGGCAATATGCTAGTCTGGTCCCAGAGCTGTTGTTTGGCATTGACAACAACCTTAGGAGTTGGCTATACAGCACAAAGAGATCTGGGACCAGCCTAATAATGTTTCTCATAGAGGTATAATGAATGTATGTTTGTCCTAACGTATATGACTGAGACATGTCCAATACAACACCACCATTCCAAATCTGTCCAGGGCTGAAGGAAATATATTACAGATTTATTATAATAATGGATGTATTTTTGTCTCTACAGAATGATGCGACTGAGACATGTCCAATACTACAACACCTGTATAAGCAATATACTGTATTACAGATGCAGTGAGGTCCAAAAGTACTTGGACCGTGACCATTTTGTTTTTGTTTTGGCTCTGTACTCCAGCACTTTGAAATGATACAATGACTATAAGTGCAGACTGTCAGCTTAATTTGAGAGTATTTTAATTCATATTCATAATGTAGAATTGTTCAGAAACATATTCTATTCATATTTACAGTAAAAGTGACTCCGAATATGACACAATACATTATTTGCCATTCATTTCTATTGGGCATAAAATAATCTGAAACACAACCAAAACAAACTGCAAATGCATCCAACAAGTGTGTAGAGTCACAAGCTTGATGTAGCCATTGCGTGCTTGGAATATGGGACCAAATACTAAACTTTTGACGATTTTAATACACATATAAGTGAATTTGTCCCAGTACTTTTGGTTCCTTAAAAGGGGGGAGACTATGTACAAAAAGTGTTGTAATTTCTGAATGGTTTGCCCGATATGGATTACAATACCAAAGTGCTGGAGTACAGAGCCAAAACAACCTCACTGTATATGTGAGTCTTTTTGTCTCTACAGATGCGCCTGAAACATGTCCAATACAACACCCCCATTCCAGCTCCTGTCCAACAACGTTTCGTTGACCAATCAGAGGTTGGCAGTGCCCATAAGGACGTTCATGGGCTTTCTGTCTGTGTCTCCATGTCTCCTCTTCCTCTATATCAACACTGTCATGCTGTACAGTCTGAAGAGCAAGCCCATGTTCAGAGAGACCTCACGCTACATCTTGTTTGGTAACCCTGGCTACCGGAAGTTTTACACAAGATTAACACATTTAGTTTGCAATTCTTTAAAAAATATATTTTCTAAGGGTTTTCAGATGTATTGAACAGATAGTGAGAGAGGATGACAGTGCGGAAAAATAAAGAGAGGTTGTGTCAAGGGGCCAGATCTGAACCTATGCCACCACTGTAGAAGTGTGCAGAGGCTTCAACAATACCGCTAGCCCAGTCAGGGCATACATTCCATTTGAAATATTCCGTGGCATGTGGCTTGTTACATGATAACCTGTTTCCAATACATTTGATATGTCTTTAGGAGCTCTAAATGCACTCCAAACTAGCTTTTCATGTGTTTGTGAAAGCAAAGAGGGTAGAATGTGTCACAATTCAAGTTGTGTTAAAATACAATTTGTTATTGTGTAATTATTGTATTTCCAACTAATGTTTAACATGTTCATTTCCGGTAGGTAACCTCCTCTTCGCCGACACCATCCTACTGGTGACCAGCCAACTGCTGTACATATTAGCCGTGGCTGGGTTGTTTGTGATCCGATACATATGTGTTGTGATTGTGTTGGTGGCCATTTTCACCAGCGCTGTTTCCCCTCTCAACCTGTCTGTGATGTCGCTAGAGAGGTATGTAGGCCATCTTTCTTTCTAGTAAACAATTGTTGTTTATACCCTTTTCCCCGTTTAGTCCCCCTGACAAAAGAGGTTTCTAACCTCAAGGGTTAAATAAAGGTTAAATAGTGTACTACTTTTGACCAGGGCCTATATTTGGGACTCAATAAAAATGATCCTTTCCAGGTACGTGGCTATCTGTTATCCTCTGAGGCATGCCTCCATTGTCACCCCCGGGACTACGGGCGTGGTCATTGCTGTAGTGTGGATCCTGTGTTCCCTAAACACTATCATTAAGCTTATCATGCTGCTGGTTCTAGAGTCCATGCCTCTGGACCAGTTAATGCAGGAATTCTGCTCTACCAGCCAACTTTTCCACCTGAAGATTCACAACCAGGTAGACAACGTGTTCATCAGCATCGTCTTCATAACCGTTAGTTTTATCATCATATACTCCTACATCGCTATGATGATGGTAGCCAAGTCCGCCTCCTCAGACAAGGACTTGAACACCAAGGCTCGTAACACGGTTCTACTGCACCTGATCCAGCTGGGGCTGAGTCTCTCCTCAACCCTGGTTCCTACCATAGTGTCAGCCTTGAAATCCAAAGCAATGGACAAAGCCACACAGATCGAGTACATTGTGTTTATCATCCTGATTATCCTGCCCAGGTGTCTGAGTCCTCTGATCTACGGCCTGAGAGACCAGACGTTCAGACACATCCTCGTGTACCATCTCACCTGTGGCCTCAGATGCACAGTGCAGCCCATTAAAATCTCCAGCTATTGATAACATTAATGTTTTTTATTGTAACAGAAAAATTCCTTCCGTTTTTAATGAAAACTGTTTTTAAGAACTTGTAATAATGCTGAAGAAATGTACAGAACTAAAACACACGTATGTGAAACGCTTTAAAGGGTTAATCTGCAGTTGCTACATACATTTTTTGACATGCACCCATTGATTCTTGAAGAATATAACTTATAAATGCCTCATTAGCTTCGTTCAACTGTCAGAACCCAAAGTATAAGTCTGTTTGACTATAATGTTCGTAAACAAAGTAAAATGTAAACAAACACTCTATAGCTTCAAACATGGTTAAAACTAGCATTTTTCATTTTCATGGAATGTCAGTCCTTACATCTATAGCACTTTCTTTGAATTTGAGAGTAGTTACATTTCTCCAGCCCCATCCCTCAGCTTTTTACAGAATCAGTGGCGCTTTGTTATTGTTTCAACTGCGGATTGCCTCTTTAAGGAGTTACTTAAAGTTTTCCTGTAATACAATTTATGAAATAAACACCTTGATTTTTAGGAATATTTAATAAAAGGGATTTGACTTGAGCCTCCTCGTGCTTCCCGAGCTTCTTTACCTTTTAATGTACATTCACTCTTTTGATCCATCGTAGTGACCCACTCCTCTGTTTGACCACCCGATGGAGCCAAATTGCAGTTAAAGCCTTCCAGCACCGGCCCTTTGGTCACATATACTTTTTTAACCAGACTGAACGCTGCGCCCAAATTATAAGTGCAGCTTTCAGTCAGGTTTAACCAGGCTACCTAGCCACATATCCTTCAATGTGCCATGTAGATGACACATTTTATCTCGGTGCTAAGCCATCTCCTATTCTGATAATCTGACTCATACAAAACAAATCACAGACACAATAGAGGCACAGAGAGAGACAACAAGTATGGATAAATGCACTTTAATATATTCACAAAGTAATTCAGCATCAGTGCTTTACAAACAAGAGAAAGAGAGAAATTGGCACTTAGTACGGTATAGTTTGTGTGACTATCGAGTGATGATGTTATCCATCAACTGTGATAAAGAGGATTTAGTGATAGAGGGTGCTGGATGTGTCACAAACGGCACCCTATTCCATATTTTGTGCTCTAGGCCTACATTTGACCAGGTCCCATAGGGTGGCATTTGGAACACATCCAGAATATATTTTTCAAAAGTAGTGCACTTTAATGGGAATACATTTACATTTTAGTCATTTAGCAGACGCGCTTATCCAGAGTGACTTACAGTAGTGAGTGCATACATTTTCATACTGGTCTCCCATGGGAAACAAACCCACAACCAAGGTGTTTCAAGCGCCATACTCTACCAACTGAGCCACATGGCACCCATTTGGGACCTATTTGGGACAGATCCCCCCCCACCCCCCAGCATCCAAAATCTGACATAGATACATTAGCCTACTTATCCAGCGGGAAAAATGTGGCATTGTAAACTGGTTTTCTGGTTATAAAGATAACCTGATTACAACAAGGTAAAGAAGACATCTGGGAAAGATGTCATATTTTTGTTGTTAGAGGTCTTTTCTGGTCACTAAAAAGATGTCTAAAAAACATATTTCTCTGACCTCACTTTGCAATTGCATGATATTTACACTAAGTGTAAAAAACACCTGCTCTTTCCATGACATATTGTAGACTAGACAGGTGAATCCAGGTGAAAGCTATGATCCCTCATTGATGTCACTTGTTAAATCCACTCCAATCAGTGTAGATGAAGGGGAGGAGACTGGTTAAATAAGGATTTTTAAGCCTTGAGACATGGATTGTGTATGTGTGCCATTCAGAGGGTGAATGGGCAAGACAAATATTTAAGTCCCTTTTAACAGGGTATGGTAGTAGGTGTGAGGGGCACCAGTTTGAGTGTGTGAAGCACTGCTATGCTGCTGGGTTTTTCACGCTCAGCAGTTTCCAGTGTGTGTCAAGAATGGTCCACCACCCAAAGGACATCCAACCAACTTGACACAACTGTGGGAAGCATTGGAGTCAACATGGGAGGGCATCCATGTGGAACGCTTTTGACACCTTGTAGAGTCCTGCCCCGACGAATTGAGGTTGTTCTGAGGGCAAAAGGGGGTGCAACTCAATATTAGGAAGGTGTTCCTAATGTTTTGTACACAATGTATATTACATACGTTTCACCCGAATTGAAAGATGAAAAGACAGTTGAAGATATGTAATATTGTATACATTGTAATATTGTATACATTGTCGTCAACTTCACTATACCAAAATATGACAGTAGCTGACTGAATGTATGTTTGTTGCATAGAGAAAAATAGGCAGTAGTACAACCACATGGTTTGTGTTTGAAATTGGGTTAACAACAACCTATTCTAACTCTGTTGTATTCCATAAGGAGCACCACCAACTCCACTGGGTCTGTCATAAGATGAGAGACACTCATCCCCCTTCACATCACCCTCTCCTCCGACTCTCACACTGACCCACATGCAGGGGCTGCGTCCCAAATGGCACCCTATTCCCTACATAGTCCACTACTTTTGACCAGATCCCTATGGGCCCTGGTCCAAAGAAGTGCACTATATAGGGAATAGGGGTGCCATTTGAGATGCAGCCAGCCCAGTATATCCTCAACCAACCAGACAGAACCAGAACCAGGAGGAAGCATAGACCAGAGTTGCTCTGTTGTTGAAGAAGGCATGCCATATGTAATGCCCTGGACCAGAGCATAGGGCCAGAGACCCAGAGACACACTGTATGGTATTGATAATGCAACTTTGGTCAAAGACACATGAGTATTAATAAAATGTTTGACATGATTTAGTAAGGAGAGAGGGAGTGGGCCCATCCCTCAGCTTTATAGCAAGAAAATTGGCAGGCTGAAAACATATTTTTGACATATAGTAACAAGAGAATGAGTATCTGTTCATTTCTAAACATTTCAGTGGTTTCTGCATATTAACTGGGGGAAATACATCTTAACAGAGTGAGAGGCCAGGCTATGGCTTATGTTACTGTCTCTGAACTAACTGAATGTTTATGAGGCCTGGGTTCATTGGTCTAGGAGACCTATCTCAGCCACTCTCACTTGTAAGCTTCATTTCTGCACAGTAGGTAGAATAAGCTGTTATACACTGATACAGGGTCAGATGTTTTCCATCCCCTAGTGGTAAAGGTTAGAATTGGGGTAATCTGATCCTAGATCTGTTGTTGACTGATTTATGTAATAGTGGAGAACAGCAAGCAGTGTTTTTTTTTATATAAATCTTTGGAATGAACTCCCTGTAGCATTGGTCTGGTCCCAGATCTGATGGTGCTCTTGCCAACTCCATTGCTGTCGTTCTGAAGTCAATGTTAGGCATGACAATGAGTGACAGGAGTTGGCAAGATAGCTCCAACAGACCAGCACTCAGGCTAATGTAGTACCACTGTAAACCAATCATATAAGTCCATATCATTGTGCTCAGAGTTCTTTCTTGAGGCGTGGTCATGAATAGAGGCAAGGGTTTTTCTAAACAGGTTAAACTTCTGGCCCCTATTTGTGAGGCTTCAAGGTTTGTCTTTCTAAACATTGAACAGCATCACAAGCGTAGTCACTTCTAGACTAGTGATATAGGCTTCGTCCCAGATGGCACATAGGCCTCTAGTCAAAAGAAGTGTACTTCATAGGGAATAGAGTGCCATTTTGGATGTAGCCATAGTGTTGAACCCAAGTAACAGACAAAAATTACCAGATAATCATGCATCCATTAAAAACCATTAGAAAACATCAACTGGTGTGTGTCATACATTTATATACAGTGCATTCGGAAAGTATTCAGACCCCTTGACTTTTTACACATTTTGTTACGTTACAGCCTTATTCTAAAATTGATTAAATTCTTTTTTCCCCCTCATCAATCTACATACAATAACCCATAATGACAAAGCAAAAACAGGTTTTTAGAAATGTTTGCACATTTATAAAAAATTATAAACTGAAATATCACATTTACATAATTATTCAGACCTTTTACTCAGAACTTTGTTGAAGCACCTTTGGCAACGATCACAGCCTTGAGTCTTCTTGGGTATGACGCTACATGCATGGCACACCTATATTTTGGGAGTTTCTCCCATTCCTCTCAAGCTCTGTCAGGTTGGATGGGGAGCGTTGCTGCACAGCTATTTTCAGGTCTCTCCAAAGATGTTAGATCGGGTTCAAGTCCGGGCTCTGACTGGGCCATTCAAGGACATTCAGAGACTTGTCCTGAAGCCACTCCAGCGTTGTCTTGGCTGTGTGCTTAGGGTCTTTGTCCTGTTGGTAGGTGAACCTTCGCCCCAGTCTGAGGTCCTGAGCGCTCTGGAGCAGGTTTTCATCAAGGATCTCTCTGTGCTTTGCTCCGTACATCTTTGCCTCGATCCCGACTAGTCTCCCAGTCCCTGCCGCTGAAAAACAACCCCACAGCATGATGCTGCCACCACCATGCTTCACCGTAGGGATGGTGCCAGGTTACCTCTAGATGTGACACTTGGCATTCAGGCCAAAGAGTTCAATCTTGGTTTCATCAGACCAGAGAATCTTGTTTCTCATGGTCTTAGAGTCTTTAGGTGGCTTTTGGCAAACTCCAAGTGGGCTGTCATGTGCCTTTTACCTGGGAGTGGCTTCCGTCTGGCCGCTCTACCATAAAGGCCTGATTGCTGGAGTGCTGCAGAGATGGTTGTCCTTCTGGAAGTTTCTCCCATCTCCACAGAGGAACTCTAGAGCTCTGTCAGAGTGACCATCAGGTTCTTGGTCACCTCCCTGACCAAGGCCCTTCTCCCCCGATTGCTCAGTTTGGCTGGGCGGCCAGCTTTAGTAAGAGTCTTGGTGGTTCCAAACTTCTTCCATTTAAGAATGATGGAGGCCACTGTGTTCTCGGGGACCTTCAATGCTGCAAAAATGTTTTGGTACCCTTCCCCAGATCTGTGCCTCGACACAATCCTGTCTCGGAGCTCTACGGACAATTCCTTTGACTTCATGGCTTGGGTTTTGCTCTGACATGCACTGTCAACTGTGGGACCTTATATAGACAGGTGTGTGCCTTTCCAAATCATGTCCAATCAATTGAATTTACCACAGGTGGACTCCAATCAAGTTGTAGAAACATCTCAAGGATGATCAATGGAAACAGGATGCACCTGAGCTCAATTTCGAGTCTCATAGCAAAGGGTCTGAATACTTATGTAAATAAGGTATTTCAGTTTATTTGTATTTTTATACATTTGGAAAAAATAAATACAAAATGTCATTATGGGGTATTGTGTGTAGATTGCTGAGGGGGAAAAAGTTTATAATCCATTTTAGAATAAGGCTGTAACGTAACAAAATGTGGAAAAAGTCAAGGGGTCTGAATACTTTCTGAAGGCACTGTATATGTACATGTACATACATGAATATATAGATATAGCAAAGAACTTAAACAATTGTTTTTGTGGGGTAATTCATTCTTTAGTGAAGTGAATTTTTGAGAAGTGTTTCGGCACAAATACAGGCGCACACACACATACACGCATACACACGCACACTGTTCATTCCATGGATATGAATCAGCACAAACTGTAGAATAGATGTCAGTATAAAGAGGCTTGAGACAGCGCTCGCATCATCAGAAGCAGACAGACAGTGCTCGCATCATCAGAAGCAGCCAGCATCTGGCTCCTCTAGAAAGGGAGGGACCATTGCAGTGTTTCGTCATCCCTCCTTCCCTTCCACCAGGATCGAAAACTGCAGACCAGACTAAGGCCAGGCCAGACGCTAACCTTGCTAATCTTGAGGATAAGGCCCCAGACAGGCCAGAGGGCATCTCCCGCTCCCTATCTCTCTCTCTCTCCCTCTCTCTCTGCCCTTGGCCGTTCCTTTTCTCTCTCCCCCTGTGTAAAAAAAACCCAGGTACTCCAGGTATTGCAGTACAAGTCCAAGTTATCTTGTGATCCCATTTGGTCCAGCCATTGGCAGTGATTAGTATATAACATAGAGACTGTTACTGCTGGCAACCTGAGCCGATACTGAAACACAGCTTCTGTTGCATGTCCTGGTTGGTGGATGGCTGGTTGAACAAGGTCTGAACACCAGTGAAACGAGCCACAAGTGAAAAAGCAGTCAAAAGGCAAATAACAAAACAAGAATAGACTGAAGAGAAGAAGAGCATTTGCACCATTAAGCTAGCACGTCATGATGGTGATGTACTGTACCCGACCACGGATTGCTCACTAGTCTAGGGATTAGTCTAGTGGCAGTTGTAGCACAGCGGTACTGAAGCCAGCACTATAAAATCCACTCTGCAGCTTTGAGAGGGATAGGCTGAGGGTTGACTGGAATGTTGTCAGAGCTACTGATTGTGCTTCGTGTGTGTGTGTGTGTGTGGGTGTGGGTGTGAGTGTGTGTGTGTGCGTGCGTACCTGTGTGTGTGCGCATCTGTGTGTCTGTGTTTGTGTGTGTAAGATAGTATATTTACTGGTAAGCTTAATAAAGGACTGAAATTAATTATCAGGTCATTCACTTATTTTCTAATTAGCCCAAAACTCAAATGTCTCTGTGCCTGATTGACATTTTGAGATAGTATGCGTGTTCTTCCATTCATACACTTGGAGTGCATACATTTCCTCTTAATTCAAGGCCCTTCCATGACCAGAGGATGTATCTGGAGAAAGAAGGCCTATACGTTGGGTTCAGACAAAGAGCAGAAACACTGAAGATCCCAACTCATCCGCTGTGTCTGGCTGCATCCTCTTCATGATAAGATAGTCCTATAGTCCCATAGTCCACAAACACTGGCTACTGTTTCTGTTTGATAAACCACACTACTTTTCATTAAATGAAAGAATCTACTTTTTCCTTCATTCTTTCATTTTCTTTCATTTCCAGTGTGTTCAGAAGGTAGTACACGTAATCAGCAGTGCACATTTGGCAAATCAACTCTCCTTTATCATGAGTCACGGCACAACCCTCGAGAGGGAGAAGTAATACTGAGGGCTTGGACACTTCCTCACTTTCTTCATCTACACAGTCCTCTCTTCCTCTCAGGGGAGGGAGGTGACTTGGCAATATTCGATTCCTCACACACCCACGTCCCAAATGGCACTGGTCAAAAGTAGTGAGTGCACTATGTAGGGAATAGGGCACCATTTGGGACACAACCTCAGTCTCTCACCGTGATAAGGCCGTGGCTGGCTGCCTGGCACATTTAAAGGTGTGCCTCAGGGTGTCAGGGAAAGGGCAGTGAGGGGGTGTCGTTTTTTCAGTGTTTAGGTGAGCAGGCAGTGTAGACGCGAGGATTGTTTTTTGCAGAGTGACTAAATACAGCTGGTGTGATGAGAGAAAGGTGGTCCAAGTGCACAGCGATCCATCCAGGCAGCAATTTACAGTTATTATTGATATACCGCTTCACTGCAGAGTCATACGCACTAGTACACCATGACCACCACATTCAGAGTACAGTGAGAAACACTGATGCATAACAACAACGCAAAACCAAAACAGACCGCCAGACCCCAGGCATTGGCAAGATAGATAACTCAAGAAGAAGACATAGCACAAATCGTTGTCGTTCCAAGTGCAAACGTTGTACTGTAGTCAGCGATAGATACAACAAGTGCTCCAAGATAGTAGATACCACAGTGCATTCTTTCCCACGGATAGCTAGCAGTTTGCCAGCCCCTCAGACCAGAGACAGGGACAATGGAGGGAGGGATGGACCTGACAGTATGGCCCCCGGCCCAGCCTCCCTCCATCCCTTTCTCCCTCCCTCTGCTTACTTCTCCTTGATGATCTCCTCGTATTTGGGCGGTGGGTCGCTGTACGGCGCCGACACCTCTTCGCTGCTGCTCTCCAGTTGTCCTGTCACCTCCTCGTAGGAAGGAGGAGGTGTGGCACCGGAGAGACGCGACGCTACTGACACAGACGGATCCTGGACATACAGGGCGGAGCGAGTGTTCTGAGGGGGGTGTGGATGGGAATGGGGCTCTTGGGGAACGCTTGCAGCGTAAACCAGCGACCCTCCTCCACTTCCTCCTCCTACTATTCTCTCCACCCCACTCACCACCACGGTGGGCCTGGATAAGGGTGGGTTGGGGTGGGAGGAGGTCTCGGAGTGGGACGGCGTGTCCCGGTGGACCAGGATGCGTGGCAGGCTGCGGGTGTTGCGGTTGTTCATGTAGCGGTTCTGGGTGTAGGCGGGCCGCCGGCGGGTGGCCTTCTGCAGCTGGCACCTCCAGATGAGGAAGAGGGCGATGAGGAGGAGGAGAGCCACGCCCAGCAGGGGAACCACCATGTAGAGGTGACCCTCTGAATGGCCGTCCCTGTTCTGTTCGTGGCTGCTCACCGTGTACACACTGCGAGTCTTCCAGAATTCCATCTGGAGGAGAGGAGAGGCAGGTTGGCATTTATTAAGACCAAAAAGCGAATTTCTGTTTTCATGGATTTTTACGATAATATAGCCAATTTTGACTTTGCAGCTGGCCCATCTACACTGTAAAAAAAAAAACTAATTGTTTCAACTAAATATCATTAAGTAAGTGGTTCCACAGACATTTTTTGGTTTACTCAACTTTTGGGTCAAAATGTTTCCTGAACTTTTAAAAAATGGTTGGCCCAAACTTAGCTCCAACATGACAAAACTTTGGCAAATATTCTGTCAACTTAAAATGATGTGTTTGCTCAAAGTGTCTCATATCTTCATTCAACTAGAAACTATTTTTGGGACATCTTACCTAAAAAAAGGCTGTGGAACTAGTCAAACACACAGTGCTTTTAACATACAATGTTTTCAACTCACACAGTTCACATACAGTACATGATTACATTGCACATGTTCATTTATACAGTAATTCATATTCAAAATGTCTACACCTGGGATTTGAACTCACAACCTCTTGGTTTTCAGCATTCCAATCTTCCTGCTACACCACCATGTCTGTGTCAATAACTGATTTCACCTGTATGGCTACACTTTGCACTTAAAAGTATACCTTAGCTCTGAGATGTACTTTTAAGTGCAAAGTATAGCCTTAAAGCCCTACTCGGACGGGATAAGTTTTACTGGGGAGCTAGGGTAATGTAATTATGTGCACAAGCACAAATCACCACATCAGTAATTTTAGCCCCGTCCGAATCTGCCATGCTGAAAAACCTACAGTTTTTCGGCAAACTCCCAGGTCCTCTGATAATACTTAGCCTGTGTGAGTCATCATCCCTGTGTTTTGAGGGATATTACAGAGTTGAACAAGTTCTGCACCCAGATTGGGTAAGAACGTGGGAACATGCTCTTTTAAAAGATGAAATGCCAATGAATTGATAAATTGCCAAATACGTCAGGTAATTAAATGTCTGCATAGGTTACAGGTCATGGTTCTTATTGATATGCATTATTATTTTACTTTCTCCGAACTGAAGGCCAATAGGCCAATATCAGGCTATCCCTAGACATTTTGAAATATCTTCACTCCTAGAAGAGCCTCCAGGCTTCCATCAATTTTGAATGAGGAAAAAAAAGAATTACAGGGGCAGTTTGGTCAAACTAATCCCGTACGAATCGTCCACTGGAAGAACTGACATGCTGGGGTAATAATTACATAACTGACGTTCTATAGTAATACTAGTCCCCGTGCGAATAGAGCTATAGAGGTGAAATCAGTTATTGACACAGACATGATGGCGTAGCAGGAAGATTGGAATGCTGTGAACCAATAGGTTGTTAGTTAAAATAGTTAACCAATAACTACCCGGAATATCGACATTGACCCTTTTTGCACTAGTCTCTTTTGACTCATCACATACGCTGCTGTTACTGTTTATTATCTATCCCATTGACTAGTCACTTTATCCCTACCTAAATGATATGTACATATCTACCTCAATGACCTCATACCCCATAGCCAAGTTATCGTTACTCATTGTGTATTTATTCCTTGTGTTATTATTATTTTATTTTATTTTTTATGTCTCTCTCTACATTGCTGGGAAGAGCCTGTAAGTAAGCATTTCACTGTTAGTCTACACCTGTTGTTTACAAAGCATGTGACAAATAACATTTGATTTGTTAAAAGTACACTCAAGAAAAACTATTTTATTTATCATAGTGATTAAGGAGTAACATTAAAACAGAGTAATATTCCCCACCAACTATACAGAAAAAACTAAAATTGCTTAAATAAGTAAATAAAATCTATGAGGGAATAGTCCGATTTAACTGATAATTGACACAGACATGGTGGCGTAGCAGGAAGATCGGCATGCCATGAACGAAGGGGTTGTGAGTTCAAGTCCCAGGTGAGTAATAACAATTACAGCATAAATGAACATGCAAAATGTAATCATGTGTGTCAAACTTCAATGTGAAAAGCACTGTGTGTAACCAGTTGCACAGCATCTTTTAGTTAAGATGCCCAAATAATAATACATAATTTTAAATTGACTGAAGTTTTGCCAAAGTTCTCAGATTGGAGTTAAGTTTGGGCAAACAATTTTTTTTTGTTCAGGTAACAGTTGGACCAAAAAGTTGAGTAAACTAAAGAAAGGCTGAGGAAACAGTTACGTAATAATAATAATTTGAAACAACTAGATTTGTGGGTGTTTTTTTCTTTGCAATGTAGCGGAAATCACTCAGTTCTGCCTCCAGGGCAAGATTCATGACAATAAACGTCAACCTGCGAGGAGAGGGGAGGAGAAGAGAGGAGAAGAGAAGAGGAGAGGAGAGGGGAGGAGAAGAGAGGAGAAGAGGAGAGGAGAGGAGTAGAGAGGACAGAAGAGGAGAGGACAGAAGAGGAGAGAAGTGAGGAGAGGAGAGTAGAGGAGAGAAGGGGGAGAGGAGAAGAGGAGAGACGTGTGTTATAACATGGGCCCATACATGTATAACCAGAACTCAATAACCAAAACTCAATGATTCAGACCAGTAATCAATACATCTGTGTATCTAAAGAGGAGTGTGATATAATTTACTGTTCGCTCTTTGTTCTCAAACACTTCATTGGCCTCCTCGAAGCTGCAGCTCTCCTCCACACACTCCCGTTCGATGTTACCCTGTCTGAACTCTTCCAGGAAACTGTTGGCTCGGGGGAAGCGCTTGAGAAGAGAGTGAGCATCCTTCCCATCTAGGAACGCTACAGAGAGATATAGGAGAGAGTGAGCATCCTTCCCATCTAGGAACGCTACAGAGAGATATAGGAGAGAGTGAGCATCCTTCCCATCTAGGAACGCTACAGAGAGATATAGGAGAGAGTGAGCATCCTTCCCATCTAGGAACGCTACAGAGAGAAATAGGAGAGAGTGAGCATCCTTCCCATCTAGGAACGCTACAGTGAGATATAGGAGAGAGTGAGCATCCTTCCCATCTAGGAACGCTACAGAGAGATATAAGAGAGAGTGAGCATCCTTCCCATCTAGGAACGCTACAGAGAGATATAGGAGAGAGTGAGCATCCTTCCCATCTAGGAACGCTACAGAGAGATATAGGAGAGAGTGAGCATCCTTCCCATCTAGGAACGCTACAGGAGATATAGGAGAGAGTGAGCATCCTTCCCATCTAGGAACGCTACAGAGAGATATAGGAGAGAGTGAGCATCCTTCCCATCTAGGAACGCTACAGAAAGATATAGGAGAAAGTGAGCATCCTTCCCATCTAGGAACGCAACTGACTCACAGCGAGGAGAACATGAAATAGCATGACACAAACACACACACATACACATACAGTTGAAGTCGGAAGTTTACATACACCTTAGCCAAATACATTTAAACTCAGTTTTTCACAATTCCTGACATTTAATCCTAGTAAAAATTCCCTGTCATAGGTCAGTTAAGATCACCACTTTATTTTAAGAATGTGAAATGTCTGAATAATACTAGAGAAAATGATTTATTTCAGCTTTTATTTATTTCATCACATTCCCAGTGGGTCAGAAGTTTACATACACTCAATTAGTTTTTGGTAGCATTGCCTGAAAAATTAAAAAATTGTTTAACTTGGGTCAAACGTTTCGGGTAGCCTTCCACAAGCTTCCCACAATAAGTTGGGTAAATTTTGGCCCATTCCTCATGACAGAGCTGGTGTAACTGAGTCAGGTTTGTAGGCCTCCTTGCTCGCACACGATTTTCAGTTCTGCCCACAAATGTTCTATTGGATTGAGGTCAGGGCTTTGTAATGGCCACTCCAATACCTTGACTTTGTTGTCCTTAAGCCATTTTGCCACAACTTTGGAAGTATACTTGGGGTCATTGTCCATTTGGAAAACCCATTTATGACCAAGCTTTAACTTCCTGACTGATGTCTTGAAATGTTGCTTCAATATATCCACATACTTTTCCTTCCTTATGATGCCATCTATTTTGTGAAGTGCACCAGTCCCTCCTGCAGCAAAGCACCCCTACAGCATGATGCTGCCACCCCCATGTTTCACGGTTGGGATGGTGTTCTTCGGCTTGCAAGCGACCCCCTTTTTCCTCCAAACATAACGATGGTCATTATGGCCAAACAGTTCTATTTTTGTTTCATCAGACCAGAGGACATTTGCAAACCGTAGTCTGGCTTTTTTATGGTGGTTTTGGAGCGATGGCTTCTTCCTTGCTCAGCGGCCTTTCAGGTTATGTCGAAATAGGACTCGTTTTACTGTGGATATAGATACTTTTGTACCTGTTTCCTCCAGCATCTTCGCAAGGTCCTTTGCTGTTGTTCTGTGATTGATTTGTACTTTTCGCACCAAAGTACGTTCATCTCTAGGAGACAGAACGCGTCTCCTTCCTGAGGGGTAAGATGGATGCGTGGTCCCATGGTGTTTATACTTGCGTACTATTGTTTGTACAGATGAACGTGGTACCTTCAGGCATTTGGAAATTTCTCACAAGGATGAACCAGACTTGTGGAGGTCTACAATCTTTTTTCTGAGGTCTTGGCTGATTTATTTTGATTTTCCCATGATGTCAAGCAAAGAGGCACTGAGTTTGAAGGTAGGCCTTGAAATACATCCACAGGTACACCTCCAATTGACTCAAATGATGTCAATTAGCCTATCAGAAGCTTCTAAAGCCATGACATCATTTTCTGGAATTGTCCAAGCTGTTTAAAGGCACAGTCAATTTAGTGTAGTGTAAACTTCTGACCCACTGGAATTGTGATACAGTGAATTATAATTGAAATAATCTGTCTGTAAACAATTGTTGGAAAATGTACTTGTGTCATGCACAAAGTAGATGTCCTAACCGACTTGCCAAAAATATAGTTTGTTAACAAGAAATTTGTGGAGTGGTTGAAAAAAACGAGTTTTAATAACTCCAACCTAAGTGTATGTAAACTTCCGACTTCAACTGTACACAGCAAGGAGAACATGGACTAGCACGCCAAGAGAAGCATGACACAATGGAGGTGACCTGTGGCTGGTTGACCTTGGTTATCTATTCTAATGTATTCACACATTCTGTTGAATACACACACAGACACACACACACACACAATGTCCCCTTTCCAATGGGGAGTGGTCAGAGTCTGTGTCCCAAATGGCACCCTATTCCCTGTGAGGCTCTGGCCAAAAGTAGTGCACTATACAGGGAATAGGGTGCCATTTGGGAGGCACACAGAGAGAACAACTGACACATATACCAACCACGTATACAATAATGCTATAGTGTTTTAATATAGTTATAATACAGTACTAACACGCTTATGATACAGGTTATAATACAGTTGTTACAATGAACAGATCAGTCATATGAGATCCAGAGAAGCAGGCCATGCTATGTTCTTACCTTCCGCCATGCTACTCAGACCAAGATGTTCTGACCTGGGGGAGGAGAGAAGAGGAGAGAGGAGCACAAAGTTTTATATGTGCCAAAATTAAACCTTTTTCCCAGGGTAATGTTTATGATAAATTAACAATAGGCTACTACTATGATCTTGATATTAAATGCCTTACAAATGTATAAAATATTGTATTGAGAAATCATATATAATGTTGCAAAGGACTCATGATTAAATGTTTGACTGTCTGATATTTGCGATTATCAACAGTTGCTTTTTAGGAATGTCCTCCCCCTCCACCTCCTCCTCTTCAATCAATGATGGGTCCAGCCGTATTTCTACTTAAAGCAGGGCGCTGGGCATGATGTCATACAGCAGCCTAACCATAAAATGGCTCTTACATGTATTTCAGGCAAAGACACTGAGTTTTAATAATGCATGGTGGAGGAGCATGCTCTCTATAGTAGGGATGTATATGCTTTTATAAATGGATCACCATGTTGTAGCCTAGGCCAACCTTGGTAAATATATTCCACCTATAAATATGCCGACATGAGGAGGGGGTCGGATGGCTGGGGGGGTAGCATAGCAACGGGGATGGGGAATAGGAGTCCCGCGAGAGGCAACGTAAGCAGTGCCCGATCCTGGATGCTACCAAAATTGAATAATTACGAGAAGGCACGTGTGGAGATGGAATATTTAAAATGTTATCTGTTGTAGAAAATGGGGATATATGAGCGCAAGCAGCACGCACCGTAGATCGCGCGGGCCATCTGCCATACAGAGCAGCACGCGATAAACGAGCCCTATTCATCAACTCTCTCCAGCCTCCTGTAGACCAACAACACAGATGCTTGCAAGGCAAGCCCTTACAAGCATACCCCGGCCTCAGTTTGCACATCCACAATCTCAAATAGTAGGCTACCATGTAAAATGAGTGGGGGGAATACATTTAGAAAGGCCTAAGAATAATTGTATGCCCTTAAATTACACTTAAAGGGAAAAATATGACAATACAATATTCAACAATAATTTTAATAATCTAAAGAATGACATTTGAAGAAGAAAAAAACAATTTAAAAATGTGTGATTGTAGTGACCTTAGCCAAGGATCCTTCTGCTCTTGCTGCAATAATAGAAAATGAAATATTTATAAAGACCCTTGTTGAGTTACAGTCATTTTTCTGGAAAGGCAGACCATTGCTGACTGTCCGGCTGTCGCTTTACTCTCACTCTCTCTCTCTACCATTATACGACACATCTCTGATCATAAAATATATGTTTTTCTCTAGCCTACTCCAATGAAATGCTTTCTCCCATAAGTGTCCGTCTACAACTAGTTTAGAAATTAACAGAAGAAGAAACCCTACCTTCCACTCTACCGATACAGCAAAGAGCTTTTCATATCCATCCGTTTCCTTGCTATTTGGGATCCTTGGGATGTCCCGCTCTGACGTCACCCCTTTGAATTTGAAATCTAAAATGGTTAAGGTTAGGGTTAGGTAAGGATTATGGTTAATTTTAGGGTTAGGGTAAGGGTGGGGGTTAAGATTAGGGTTAGGGTTTAGGGTGTGGACGTCTCAAGGATCCCGAATAGCACATTACTTTATAAAAAGGGAGTACCCCACCACATGAGACAGTACCACACTGTGACCGAAATAACGTTCATGCAATAGCAGAAGAGGAATCCCCGGCCTTGTCCAATGAAATGACTCCTAGAAAATCGGAGACAACCCTCTATGAATACGGAGACATTCGGGTGATGGAGTTGTTGAATAAACGCGTCCCCAACTCCATCTAATTAGTTTTGTGTGTGTGTGTGTGGGGGGGGGGGGTTGATGTGTGTTGTGTGTTTTTAACCAATCAATGTTTTGCTGTTGATCCGTGCTATCACTCTTGTTCAGGGTATTTATGAAAGCCTTCCGGAAAGCACCGGAGTCTGCTCCAAGCCACACCTTACACCAAAATACTTCACCTCCCAGAATTCAACCGTTCGGTCTCCACGCAATTGGCTTTTTATAAGTCAATGAGCTGTGGGACTCGTGATGAGAGCTGAGCTGCGTTTAGTTCGATTGAACGTTTACTATGTTGCGGAAGGGTTTGCACTGAATGACACGTTTTCCCAAAACATTGTTGTACGTTCTTCAACAAACTTTGAGGTACGTTTGCTCCTGTTTGGTGGGTGTGGCAAGGGGTTGCTTGAAGCAACGAGTGACGTTTTTAAAGGATAGTGGCCATGCTGAAAGCGTTCCCCAATCCACAACCCCTCCCCGTTTTTCATCTGGTCGTTCAGTACAATTGAATGGCCCAGAACGTAAAAACTTTACTTAACGCAGCACTAGTTAAAGGCCTTTATAGCCCATCTGTAGACTTCAAAAGAGATGGAGACAGGATGATAATTGTTTAATGAATAATACATTATTATGGTAAATAAAATAATTAGTCTTGCATAATGCGGAAAATGAAAATGAATGTTGTTCATAAAAAGTCATATTAGCCTACCTTCATTATATATAGTGCATTCGGAAAGTATTCAGACCCCTTGACTTTCTCCACATTTTGTTACATTACAGCCTTATTCTAAAATGGATTAAATAAAACATTTTCCTCAGCAATCTGCACACAATACCCCATAATGACAAATAAAAAACAGGTTTTTAGACATTTTTGCAAATTTATTAAATATAAAAAACGGAAATACCTTATTTACATAAGTATTCAAACCCTTTGCTATGAGACTCGAAATTGAGCTCAGGTGCATCCTGTTTTCATTGATCATCCTTGAGATGTTTCTACAACTTGATTGGAGTCCACCTGTGGAAAATTCAATTGATTGGATAATATTTGGAAAGGCACACACCTGTCTATATAAGGTCCCACACTTGACAGTGCATGCCAGAGCAAAAATCAAGCCATGAGGTCGAAGGAATTGTCCTTAGAGCTCCGAGACAGGATTGTGTCGAGGCACAGATCTGGGGAAGGGTACCAAAACATTTCTGCAACATTGAAGGCCCCCAAGAACACAATGGCCTCCATCATTCTTAAATGGAAGAAGTTTGGAACCACCCAGGCTCTTCCTAGAGCTGGCTGCCCGGCCAAACTGAGCAATCGAGGGAGAAGGGCCTTGGTCAGGGAGGTAACCAAGAACCCGATGGTCACACTGATAGAGCTCTATAGTTCCTCTGTGGAGATGGGAGAAACTTCCAGAAGGACAGCCATCTCTGCAGCACTCCACCAATCAGGCCTTTGTGGTAGAGGGGCCAGACGGAAACCACTCCTCAGTAAAAGGCACATGACAGCCCGCTTGGAGATTGCCAAAAGGCACCTAATGACTCTCAGACCATGAGAAACAAGATTCTCTGGTCTGATGAAACCAAGATTGAACTCTTTGGCCTAATTGCCAAGTGTCACATCTGGAGGAAACCTGGCACAATCCCAACGGTGAAGCATGGTGGTGGCAGCATCATGCTGTGGGGATGTTTTTCAGCGGCATGGACTGGGAGACTAGTCAGGATCGAGGAAAAGATTAACAGAGCAAAGTACAGAGAGATCCTTGATGAAAACCTGCTCCAGATTGCTCAGAACCTCAGACTGGGGTGAAGGTTCACCTTCCAACAGGACAACGACCCTAAGCACAGGCAAGACAACTCAGGAGTGGCTTCGGGACAAGTCTCTGAATGTCCTTGAGTGGCCCAGCCAGAGCCTGGACTTGAACCCGATCGAACGTCTCTGGAGAGACCTGAAAATAGCTGTGTAGCAATGCTCCCCATCCAACCTGACAGAGCTTGAGAGGATCTGCTGAGAAGAATGGGAGAAACTCCCCAAATACAGGTGTGCCAAGCTTGTAGCGTCATACCCATGAAGACTCTGCTGTAATCGCTGCCAAAGGTGCTTCAACAAAGTACTGAGTAAAGGGTCTGAATATTTGTTTTACTTTTTAATTTGTAAGTCGCTCTGGATAACAGCGTCTGCTAAATGACGTAAATGTACCCCTTTTTGCCCCAATTTCGTGATATCCAATTGGTAGTTAGTCTTGTCCCATCTCTGCAACTCTCGTACGGACTCGGGAGAGGTGAAGGTCGAGAGCCATGCGTCCTCCGAAACACCACCCTGCCAAGCCGCACTGCTTCTTGACACACTGCTCACTTAACCCGGAAGCCAGCCGCATCAATGTGTCAGAGGAAACACCGTACAACTGGCGACCGCATCAGCGTGCATGGGCCCGGCCCGCCACAGGAGTCGCTAGAGCGCGATGGGACAAGGACATCCCGGCCGGCTAAACCCTCCCCTAACCCGGACGACACTGGGCCATCGCCTCATGGGTCTCCCGGTCGCGGCCGGCTGCCACACAGCCCGGGATCGAACCCGGATCTGTAGTGATGCCTCAAGCACTGCAGTGCCTTAGACTGCTGCGCCACTTGGGAGGCAGGGTCTGAGTACTTATGTAAATGTGATATTTCTGTTTTTTTATTTGTAATACATTTGCGAGAATTTCTTCTATAAACCTATTTTTGCTTTGTCATTATGGGGTATTGTGTGTAGATTGATGAAGAAAAAATACAATTTAATCAATTTTAGAATAAGGCTGTAACGTAACAATGTGGAAAAAGTCAAGGGGTCTGAATACTTTCAGAAGGCACTGTATGTATTGCTGCCCTGTGAAATTGCAATACACCTAGGTAGTAACACACAGGAGGCAATGTATCAATGTTTTGAATGCTATCATGCCTGGTTGCATGTAAGCCTAAGTTCACTCACATTGGATACAGGATATGTAAACTCCTTGGTGTTGTAACACTTGGGAATGCAGAATGCTCATTCCTTTAACATGTCGTAAAGCCTCACAGTGGACTCTCTCGCAGGCAGCCAGGCCAGGCCCGCTGTGCTGGTGTCATTCACTGGCACTGACCTCCTGGTAAGGGGAAACTTTGTGCGACAGACAGACGCTCTAGACTTGCCACATGTCAGGGCAAAAGGGGCCTGAACTCTATCTCCCCTCTCACCCTCTGTTGGGTTCTGCCTGCTTGTAGCTAGCCTATAGCTAGTACGTTCATAAACGTGACCAAACTAAAATGCAATTTCTACAGGACAGTTGCTCTTTCTCAACAATCTCTCAGCTTCAGTCTGCTAAAGTCGTTGGCTAAGACTTGAACCCGATCTAACATCTCTGGAGAGACCTGAAAATAGCTGTGCAGCGATGCTCCCCTTCCAACCTGACAGAGCTTGAGAGGATCTGCAGAGAAGAATGGGAGAAACTCCCCAAATACAGGTGTGCCAAGCTTGTAGCGTCATACGCAAGAAGACTCGAGGCTGTAATCGCTGCCAAAGGTGCTTCAACAAAGTACTGAGTAAAGGGTCTGAATACTTATGTAAATGTGATATTTCAGTTTTTTATTTTTAGTACATTTGCAAACATTTCTAAAAACCAGTTTTTGCTTTGTCATTATGGGGTATTATGTGTAGATTGATGAGGGAAAAAACTATTTCATCCATTTAAGAATAGGGCTGTAACGTAACAAAATGTGTAAAAAGTCAAAGGGTCTGAATACTTTGCGAATGCACTGTAGTTACAGATCCCCTGCCCTGTTCACAGTCAAACAGATGATCCCAGGCACAGATCCGCACACATACAGAAGACTGAATCCCTGAAATATTTAATTGTGTGTGTGTGTGTGTGTGTGTGTGTGTGAGCATACGTGTGTTAATTTAATGCATGTGTGTGTGCTCATCTGTGTCTAATCTGTGTGTGTGAGTGTGAACCGGGCGGGGTTGCTAGGGGGTGCTACAGGGGTAGGGTGCTAGGGAGTACCTAGTCTTGCGTAGCCATACCTCCAAATCACATTGTTTTCACGCCTCCTTTGAGGGTCTGTCGAATTTTGTATTAGCCGAAACAGCTAGAATGGCCCACTGGCTTCCAGCGGCTTGATTTTATTTTTAAATACTGTATGTTACATTTCAAGAACCCTCCCCCACATGCCCGTAAAAGGGATGCCCGGCCATCCTCACACACTGTTGCTCCTACGGCACTAATCTACATTCTTAAAAGTAAAGGTGCAAATTGGAACCAAATAAGGTTATTGAGAGCGATGCCATAGGGGAACCATTTTAGGGTCTCTGAAGAACCATAAATGGGATGGTTATTTGAAGAACCATACAAAAATCCATAACCAGAAATGTTTCGGCCCTCCAGGACCAGAATTGAATAGGCCTGCTGTAAGGTTTTAAGCCTTATTTGCATATTTCCCAGGGTGCCTTTCGAGTGAATTTTAGAGTTGCCAGTACCACCCATGACTGTGTTTGCTAGTGACAGAGACATGGTTGTTTCACTCACTCATTTTCAGTCCTGTGGCCTTCACCAAGTTAGATCCTAAGTGAATATGTTGTCATTAAAATTAAATTATTTAAGACAATACAATACATATTTTATAAGGCCTTATTTTTTAGGACCTAGTTTTATACAGTGGCCTGAAAATCATAGTTTACAGGCCACATCACCACTCCAGCCGGAGTGGGGATATCCAACATTTGGAATTTTTATTCACCTGCCACCTGCATTCAGAATGACTGCCAGGGTTGGGAAGACTAAGATATGAGAATACCTAAACATCTAAACTGGAACAACCATTTCAGTAACGGGTGCAATATGTCCAAGTAACAGATTGGAATAGTTTAGAAAAATGTATGTTATTTATATTTGAGTAGCACATAAGATTAATTTATCAATCAATGTACATGCAAAAACAATGTACAAGTCAAAAGTTTGGACACACCTACTAATTCAAGGGTTTTTCTTTATTGTAAAAATGTTTTACATTGTAGAATAATAATGAAGACATCAAAACTATGAAATAACACATACGGAAACATGTAGTGACCAAAAAAGTGTTAAACAAGTCAAAATATAGTTGAGATTTGAGATTCTTCAAATAGCCACCCTTTGCCTTGATGACAGCTTTGCACACTCTTGGCATTCTCTCAACCAACTTCACCTGGAATGATTTTCCAATAGTCTTGAAGGAGTTCCCACATATGCTGAGCACTTGTTGGCTGCTTTTCCTTCACTCTGCCGTCCGACTCATCCCAAACCATCTCATTTGGATTGAGGTCAGGGGATTGTGGAGGGCAGGTCATCTGATGCAGCACTCCATCATTCTCCTTCTTGGTAAAATAGGCCTTACACAGCCTGGAGACACTAAGCCCAAACCAGATGGGATGGCGTATCGCTGCAGAATGCTGTGGTAGCCATGCTGGTTAAGTGTGCCTTTAATTCTAAATAAATTTACATTTTAGTCATTTAGCAGACGCTCTTATCCAGAGCGATTTACAGGAGGAATTAGGGTTAAGTGCCTTGCTCAATGGCACATCGAAAGATTTTTCACCTAGTCGGCTCGGGGATTAGAACCAGCGACCTTTCGGTTACTGGCACTACACTCTTAACCACTAAGATACCTGCCGCCCCACAGACAGTGTCACCAGCAAAGCACCCCCACACCATAACACTCCCCCTCCATGCTTTATGGTGGGAATTACACATGCAGAGATCATCCGTTCACCCACACCGCGTCTCACAAAGACACAGCGGTTTGAACCAAAAATCTCAAATTTGGCTCCAGACCATTGCTCGTGTTTCTTGGCCCAAGCAGGTCTCTTCTTATTATTGGTGTCCTTTAGTAGTGGTTTATTTTGCAGCAATTCAACCATGAAGGCCTGACTCACACAGTCCCCTCTGAACAGTTGATGTTGAGATGTGTCTGTTACTTGAACTCTGTGAAGCATTTATTTGCCCTCATGACAGCCATTTTCATCATAGCGCTTGATGGTTTTTGCGACTGCACTTGAAGAAACTTTCAAAGTTCTTGAAATGTTCCGTATTGACTGACCTTCATGTCTTAAAGTAATGATGGACTGTCGTTTCTCTTTGCTTATTTGAGCTGTTCTTGCCATAATATGGACTTGGTCTTTTACCAAATAGGGCTATCTTCTGTATACCTAAGACGGAAATAAATTCCACAAATTAACTTTTAAGAAGGCACACCTGTTAATTGAAATGCATTCCAGGTGACTACATGAAAATAGTAAAAATAAAGAAAAACCCTTGAATGAGTAGGTGTGTCCAAACCTTTGACTGGTACTGTATATTGAAACAAACTATTCTAAAAATCAACCTGCAACAGAGCATGCTGAGAAATATGATAATGATGGGCGTGGTTTTGGTTCAACTCCGGTCATTAACACCAACACTTGGATTATTTTACACCACATTGTTAATTTAACTCTTTACAGTGTTAATTTACGTTCTGAATCAACACTAGAAATGTTATACTGTAAAATTAACACTAGTTAAGACTGGCCAATTTTCTGTGTGCTATGAAAGGGACACATCTTCAGGATTCCATACATTTCAAGAACCTTTTAGAATTCTGAAGAACCGTAGATGCCATGTCAAGAACATCACACTTAAGAATTGAGGAATAACTATTTAAGAAGCTTAATTTTCAGTGTAGTGAGCACCGTTTGAGCTCTGCCCATGCAAGGCATTTGATTGGTTTGACGTGTTGTGAGGCTTCACTGGTTTCCACCCCTTTGGGGTGACGTTAGGGAAACGTTGTTTTCGACGAGGCTAGGGAGTGCCATGTGACAGGTCAGGCCTTAAGTCGTAAAACTGACAACAGCAGAGGTGTCCGGTGAACTGTGGCCCCAGAGATCCTAATCTCTGACCACAGCCCTGGAAGCCCTCGCTCTTCCATCAGTTCAACCTCTGCCTGAGACACTGAGGAGTATGTGTCCCAAATTACACCCTATTCCCTATATAGTGCACTACACTTAGAAAAAAGGGTTCCAAAAGGGTTATTCAGCTGTCCCCATAGGAGAACCCTTTTTGGTTCCAGGTAGACTCATTTTTGGTTCCAGGTAGAACTATTTTGGGTTCCATGTGGAATCCTCTGTGGAAAGGGTTTTACAAAGGGTTCGCCCTGGAACCAAAAAGGGTTCTCCTATGGGGGCAGCCGAAGAACCCTTTTGGAACCCTTTTTTCTAAGACTGTAGTGAACCTCCACTCTTCCCAGCCGCAGAGAACTAGCAGATATAGACAGATCAAAGGAGGAGAGGAGAGATAGCAGGGTGAAAACAGAGAGTGGAATCTGATTCCCCTCACAACAACAAGTGTGCGCCCCAAATGGTACCCTATTCCATAGTGGACTACTTTTGACCAGAGCCCTGTGAGCCCTGGTCAAAAGTAGTACACTATAAAGGGATTAGGGTGCAATTTGGAGCATAAACATTGTTTTTCTCCAAGTCTCTGATCATGTTATCAATAGGAAAAGAACAAGACAAAATAATCAGGTTTTCCCAGAATAGGTTTTTATTTTAACAGCTGTTGTTTAGACAGTGTTTCGACCGACAATATACAAAAAAGTTGCAAAATAGGAAATATATAAACATATACTGTATGTATCTATATACAATTGTACATCATAAGTTAGATATGTAAATAAAACGCATATAGATTATTTTTTATACACAAACAAGGTTCAGACCCTGTGATAAATGATCCCAATGTGGGATTTAATGTATGCAGTTATACAATCCCCAACAGACATTCCACTGCCCCCCAAGGAAGACTCATAGATGGTACTAGAGCAAGATTGTATACATTACTGTTACTGTACAACTTTCCATTACTATGTATTGCTACAGAAATACGTTTAAGTCTTAGCTTGACAGAGCCTATGCCAACATAGTAGCAATACAAGATACCAGTTGAAACAGGCTCCACAATTCACATTTAACTTATGCTTCTTGGCTTTCATGGAGGTAAGATAAACAATCTAGAATACATAAGACATTACAATCACTTCTCTGTGCTCGGCATGCTGTGTACTACTGAATATGTGACATAAAGGGTTTGTTAGATCGTTCTGTGCTCCTGTAGGACAAGTCTATGACTCTGACTGACAGTGGTTATTCCATTCATAGAATAAGAATGGATTCTGATTCTGAGGACAGTTCCAGTTCTATTGGTTCTTCCAGGTGTCTCACCAGTGGCACAGCCCATCTGTTGACTCTGAGCGGAAGGCAGCAGACATAATTTTCTGTTGCACCAAAAAGAGATGTTCCGGAACACCCCATCTAATGTTCCATCTGTTCCAATTGGAACTCCTCTAGACTTCAGTTGTAGCTGGTGTAGTGGGACTGAAGCTTGAGGTACTCCTTTTCCTCACTGTCCTTTTCTTCTTCCCACTCCTCGTCCTCCTCGTCATCCTCGCTGTCTGACTCCTCGTAGAAGCTGATGGTGGCCTGGACAGGGAAGTTCCTCAGCAGAGCCTCTCCGTCGCTGTACAGGTAGTCAAACGACTTGGACTTGGGCCAAAATAGTCTGTGGTGGTGGGAAGAAAAACGAAACGTTAACAAAACAGATACCTTTCCTAATAGACTGAGAATTAAAACACACACACTAAGACAGAAGTGTGTGGTAGAAGAAATAAAGCCATGTTAACACACCAACCCCTTGGAATAGCTTCAGACTGAAAACAGACACTCACTAAAAGGCCAAATCCTAACTTGAAATCCTCAAATGCAATTCTTGACTTTCAAGTAAATCATGCTGTGATGAGAATGAGATATTAATAACGTATATATCTCAAATTATAATTTGGCCCTAAGTAATACAGATATATTATCTGTATCGACAGATTAAAACTGTTTTGGAGCAGGAGGAGTGTAGCCTATTGGGACTTGGTACTGACCTGACAGGGTGCTGGAAGGACTGGGATTTCTCATTGAATGGGAAGAGACCTGGAGCTGCGGGGGTGGAATCTGTAGGTCTGGAGTAAGGCTGTTAATACACAGAGAGAGAGAGAGAGAATTAGGCGTTAATCTACCACACTGTCCTGTCAACACACAAATACCAAATGCCCTGCTATCATAATCACCACCTGGACCTCCTCCTGTCCTGCATTAGTTCACCATACTGCCAGAGAGAAACACAAATACACAAACACCTATCTTGACCTGACCACCTGTCCGAGCAAAACCAACGCCAGCGTCAACGCCAACCACACCACACATGAGGTACTGCCAGCTGGAGTTGGGTGCCAAACCAGGGAAGTCACAAGAGGTGTTTGCTGTGTGTGAAGTACCTGTGGGAAACTCTCTCAGCCTCTCTCCCTCTATCTCGAACATGACAACCCTCCCTGAGGTGTCCAGTTTAGTGTTTTTCAGGCGAACAGCAGGAAAGTGCCAAGCTAGTAGGATATCTGGAAGGCATTACTCTCTGGTTGTCGCCTTCGGTGTCGGTGTGAGGTGTGGTGTGGGGCCAGCTCAGCTCAGGATAGAGCCAGAGTGCGTGCCAAATGGCACCCTATTTCCGATATAGTGCACTACTTTTGACCAGAGCCCTATGGACCCCAAAGGAAATGCACTAAATAGGGAATTAGGGTGCCATTTGGGCTGCAAAACAGTCAGTATGAAACAGTCAGTATGAAACAGTAAAGGTCCATATGCTGCTGCGAGTCAGTCTGTCAGGGTGCAACAGACAGGCCTTCTCACCCTCTGAGCCTCAGTTGATTGGCTCAGTAACAGGAAAACAGATAGGCACTCACACCTTCTGCTCTGTCACAATGCTGCTAATGGTAATACTGCCCTCCCTCCCCTCTATCCCTCTACAGGACTGTCTGACTGTCTCCTGCCTGGCCCTGGACACCGCCTTAAATGCTGTTCTGCAGCTCCTCTCTTGCTTCAATCAAAATGATACACAAATACACAGGAACTATCTTACATTCTATGTGAAATTAAATGCCAGACTTTCACTGCTTTTATCAACTTTCATATTTTCCTGTATATAAAACTGGTGACCTATGTTTGAGGTGGGCTAAGTGTCCCCATATTGAACGAACCTAATAGAACTACAACACAACAGAAAAGACAATAGCTTATTATTGGGGCTAATATAAACTTACACATGACTGTCTGCTTCTCTGGCATTCCCTTTGCATATCCTTCTTTGTCGCGAGCCAGGGTCTCCATTGTGAAGCATAACTGCAGAGAGAAAGGCCGTGCAGGATGGTTATAGTGTCAATCAAACAGAGATCATTAACATTCTAAGGGATGTGGAAGGAAACGTGCTCTGAAGAATTAAATGCGAATGCTGGTATGAATTCACCCTACTGTACAAGCTTAAGTTAGATAATATTATTGTCTACACTTAAAAATAATAGTATTCAATGCAAAAATAATACTTTCCTTTTGGAAAATTACTGAAAAGGTAATTGGGTGGTGCCATTATAAAGCAAATTTTACGAGTCAATATAGGCTTATTATATAAATAATGTATTGTTACATTATATCAGCATCTAAAGCGCTATATATAATTCCTGGAATATTCTGTGATCTTCTTCGGAGCGCTTACCTGTCATTTGTCTGCGGACGAGTGTCCATCCCTACCCCGAGCGGAGCAACAACGAAGGGCGTCTGTTTGACGATCAGACATGCGGTACTCATTTCTGTAGCTGGTATCCCTTGAATACTAGACTGAATAACGATATTCCCTTTGCGGTAAACGCAGCGATATCTGCTATGCTATGGCTTAAATCGGCGGCGAGCTACTATTGGTGCGCTTCTGTCCCGTGGAACGGCTACACAGAGAAGTATAGAAGGAGTGTGTGTCCAACTGGTCACAACGCCCGCGGTTTATAAAGACTTCTAGATCTGGAGGGGGTGTGGGAGGAGTTGACCTGCCAAATGACCAGGGGTAGGAGGGCGAGATATACCTCAGTGGGTGCGAGCCTGTCTGGCAAATGATTGGGGGGTCGGGACAATTTGTTGTGAAGAGTTCTCCAGTTGTCCAAACAGCGGACCGCAGCGAGAGGGTGAGAAATCTGGTACCGCAGGGTTATTGGAAAAACACAGAGGAGAAAAGAGAGACACCATCTGTGAGAAAGACAGCGGGGGACAAATAAGGGGGAGTCATCCTATTGTTTACCAATTAACGAAGAACAGAGTTTGAGCAAGCATCGAATTTGGTAAAGGATAGGCCCGCCTAGCAGAGAGAAATCTAACACCAATGGACAGAGCGGGAGAAATGTCTGGATTCCCAATGCAGTCATATAACGCATCCTTATGTAGTCTTGGTTTTGGTATTATTACTTTTAATCTGAAACTGGATTTAGTCTATATTAGCTAAATCCCTGTAGCCTAAATCATATATTGTGAAGCACTTGGATATTTCTAGAAGGTTAGACAGGGTCCTATCCCAAGGAGATAATTCCATCATGGTCAACAGTGTTTAGCCTACAACTAATCTATTATCAGGATTATCTACAGTTTATAATTTTAAAAGACTTGTCTTGAAGGACGTCAACAACACCATGCAGTTATCAAATGTGACATGGAGTCTGGTATGACAGAGCCTATAGTATATAAAGGCCTTTCTGTCGTTACCAAACATTTTCCCTGTAAATGTAAAAGTGATCACTAGCCCTATTCAAACCCCATGGTGTTGTCCTGAGCGCACGCGTCATAGCCTAGCCAGGTGTGAGAATCATCACCACTGCGTTCTAATGGTCCTAATTGCGGCGTGATGGACTCTGCTGCTGCGGCTTCCTTTGGAAAAGCAAACCTCGAGCCCAGCAGCTCCATATGACGTCCCGTCGAGACGGCAAACTGGCGCAAACGGCACAAATGGATAGGGACATGCAGAGTTATACATTACGCAGAACACTCAAACGCGCTATCAGCGTAATCAGTCGATAAATATCAGGAGGGCCCTATCTATTTAACTTGCAGCATGCACAAACATAGTTGGATTGATTGCGTAAATTACATTATAATTATTACATACGAATTCACGTTAAAAACGCAGAAAACAGTGACATGATGGGCCTACAGGCAATGCTTGCGAAATGAAAGGCTAATTCTGTCCTAAATCTAGGCTATAAACATGAACAAACACTTGTTTTTTACACCTAATTTTGACATCTCTGAATAACTGTAGAGTAAATGTAGGGTTAGTGCTATCCGGAATCCTTGGGACCTCCTTACCCTAAACCCTAACCCTAACCTTACCCTAATCTTAACCATAACTATTACCTAACGTTAACCATTTTACATTTAAACTTCAATGGGGGGTAGGGACATCCCAATGACCCCAGATAGGGGAGAAACTAAATTAAATCTAGGGGAGAAACTAAATTAAACTTCAGTAGACATTTCAGAAAATAATAATTGCATGCTTGTCATGGTAACACATTTGCCCATAGTTTACAAATAGATTGTGACAAGATATGATTTGGACTTGATTTAGTAATATCCAATACAAGGGGAAAAAATTGTATTTTCTCACTAACAAACAGTCAGCAGATGAATACAAGAGCAAAGAAAAAGACTCACAAAAGTATTCTGGATAATTTATTGGATCTTTCTATTCTATGAAGATTCTCAGAGGATGACTAAGGTCTTGACCAGAACAGTGAGACTATAGCTGTCTTTAACAAATTGTAGACAAACTCATCCAACAGACACCGTAAAGTATTCTGTATAATTTATTGGATATTTCTATTCTATTCTAAGAAAATTCTTAGAGGATGATTAGAAGGTTGTGACCAGAAAAGACAGACTATGGCCAACTGACTTGTACTAGAGCACTGTTAAACAAAACCAACAGTCATCCTGAAGTATTCTGGATAATTTATTGGATCTTTCCATTCTAAGAAGATTAGAATGTGTTCTAGAAGGCTGGAAGGTCATCACCAGAACAGGCTATGGCCAAGTCGCCTGACTTCTACAAATAGTACTAGCTTTTAGACAAAAGCTGTCCAGAGATCCAAATGTCTGATCTCTAAAATAGAGCCTTACAACAACAAGGAATGGCACAGCTTGTTTATTTTGCTCATCTATGTGTGTGTGTGTGTGTGTGTGTGTGTGTGTGTGCGTGTGTGTGTGTGTGTGTGTGTGTCCCACTGTTTTCACATTTGCTGATAGATAGGAGAGGCACAGAGAGCCCCCTCCCTTCTCCTCCCCAAAAGCCTCTCTCTCCCCCATGGTGTGGAATGCCAGTAATTGGCGACCAACTGCTCTTTTGCCTTATGTACATATGTTTCTTTCACAAGGTCAATATGATCCTTATCTAGGCAAACTAAAAAATAAGTGTGGTGGTGGTGATAACATTTTGAGCTAAACAAAGCTTAGGATACTTACATAATCCTCTCGGTCCCTTTTGGGGACTTTGGGGCGGGCAGGCTAAATAAAAATCAGATTGCTGTGAAGTTGGCCTTGTAGGCCTGTAGCCTTGGCTAGAATTAGTTAAGGGATGTATTGGTATATGGGTGGGCTTGGCATGGTAGTTTGAGCTCTATTGCTTCAGGTATAGTGAGAGTAATGTGGGAAGTATGCTCACCAACAACACTGGTCTGCTTTTATGGAGTGGTCTAATATGGTAGTTAGTTACATAGGCAGCTTGTAAGTAATTACTTTACATGTACATGTAACTACAGTGTAATTAGACACGTTTTAGGCAACATAATATAATGTGGAACCGAAATTATTGTAGACAGAAAATATCCAAGTGTCTTTCTCTAGCTCGGCATGTTTGAGCACATCAGTGACGTTTGATAATAATAAATAATATGCCATTTAGTAGACACTTTTATCCAAAGCGACTTACAGTCATGTGCGCATACATTTTTACGTATGGGTGGTCCCGGGGATCGAACCCACTACCCTGGCGTTACAAGCGCCGTGCTCTACCAATTGAGCTACAGAGGACCACCATGCGTGGTCCTGATGCGCCATGCCTCCAGCCCAGGTCAATTCTATTTGAATTCATTCAATTCAGGGCATGAATTGAAATTCAATTGAAATTCAAGAAATTATTTTAAAAGTCCACATTAAATCAAATTAAATTCATGTTTTGAAAAGTCCACACTGAAAATAACTGTCCATTTTAAATCTCCTGAATTGTCTGAATTGAAATCGATATGACCCAAAACCTGGTGTATGTGTGTAACCACAGTGTGTCCTTGCCTCTGGCCCTCCTGACCACGCCTCACACCTCTGGCCTCATTTGGGGAGGTGTTGGGGTGTCAGGTCAGCCCTCGCCCCCCTCCACTCACACCTCCACAGGCACACTCCAGGGCCGAATTCTCCCCTTCGACCAGGGCCCAGTGCCCCCTCCCCTCTTCGCTCTCCTAGCATCTTGTTAGAGACAGTCTCACCCTCAGGAGAAATACACTGCATCTCTCAGGGGTCCCACATCAGCACCTATAGAATAAATGAAATTGTATTTGTCACACGCTTCGTAAACAACAGGTGTAGACTAACAGAGAGATGCTTACTTACGGGTCATTTTCCAGCAATGCAGAGTTAAAGATAAAGATAAAATAAAAATAGTGACACAAGGAATAAATACACAGTAAATAACAAATAACAATAACTACTAAAAAAGAACATGGGTCTATACAGGGAGTACCAGTACCGAGTCAATGTGCAGGGCTACAAGGTAACTGAGGAAGCTATGTACATACACTGAGTGTACAAAACCTTAGGAACACCTGCTCTTTCCATGACATAGACGGACCAGGTGAAAGCTATGATCCCTTATTGATGTCACCTGTTAAATCCACTTCAATCAGTGTAGATGAAGGGGAGGAGACAGGTTAAATAAAGATTTTCAAGCCTTGCGACATTTGAGACATGGATTGTGTATGTGTGCCATTCAGAAGGTGAATGGGCAAGAAAACATTTTTAAGTGCCTTTTGAACGGGGTATGGTAGTAGATGCCAGGCGCACCGTTTTGAGTGTGTTAAGAACTGCAACAATGCTTGGTTTTTTATGCTCAACAGTTTCCAGTGTATATCAAGAATGGTCCACCACCCAAAGGACATCTAGCTAACTTGACACAACTGTGGGAAGCATTAGAGTCAACATGAGCCAGCATCACGCTTTCCGCACCTTGTAGACAAATTGAGGCTTGTCTGAGGCCAAAAGGGTGTGCAACTCACTATTAGGAAGTAATGTTTTGTACAGTGTTTAGGAAGGGGTAAAGTGACTAGGCAACAGGATAGATAATAGACTGAACTGTAGCAGCAGCGTATGTGGAGCTGTAGCAGCAGCATATGTGAAAGTGTGTGTGTGAGTGTGTGGCATCAGTATGCATGTGTGCGCATATTATGTATGTGTGGGTGTATGTGTTGGGATGTCAGTGTAGGTATGTGTGAATGTGTGGGTAGAGTCCAGTGTATGTGCATAGAGTCAGTGCAAGAGAGTTAGTTCAAAAAAGGGTCAGTGCAGGTAGCCGTTTGATTAGCTATTTAGCAGCCTTGTTTAGCAGTCTTATGGCTTCGGGGTAGAAGCTGTTCAGGGTCCTGTTGGTTCCAGACTTGGTGCACTGGTACCGCATGCCATGCAGTAGCAGAGAGAACAGTCTATGGCTTGGGTGGCTGGAATCTTTGACAATTATTTGGGCCTTCCTCTGACACCGCATGGTATAGAGGTCCTGGATGGAAGGGAGCTCGGCCCCAGTGATGTACTGTGCCATATTCACCACCCTCTGTAGCGCCTTGCAGTCGGGTGCCTTGCAGTTGCCGTACCAAGCAGT